TGCCTTGATTTTCTGACAGACATCAAGTCATCTTTCTAACCCTCTGTGGATCTGGATAGCATACTTGGGCCGAGGGATGAGGAAACTATCACATCCAGAGAGTCTGTACTAAGATTAGAAAGCAAAAGGGATCTCCCTATATCTATCCTCATTGCCTCTCTCTAATCTATGGCCAGTGGGTCATATAGACTCATATGAATTTTCCTCTCTTCCTTGTTTCTATTTTCAATTTTGCTAGGCAGTATCTTGTGGAGAAGGGCTCCCTGGGTGGTACAAACGGTTAATGTACTAGGCTGCTAATCAAAAGGCTGGAAGTTGGAATCCACCCAGAAGTGCTTCTACTCACCAGCAGAAAGGCCTGGCAATTTGCTTCCCAAAAATCAGCCATTAAGACTATAGAGGTCAGTTCTACTCTGATAAACATGTGGTCTCCATGAAGATAAAACATGATAATCTATGTAAAATACTTTGCCCTGATAAAGAGAAAAGCACCCCCACACAAAAGAAATTCATCTGGCTTCTGAGCCTAGTTATTAGGAGCCAACCTGGTACTCACAGCCAAACTATATTGAATGTTTCTAAAAATGTAAATTTGTGAGCCCCACACCCGATCAACAGAATCAGAATCTCTCAGGGAGACCCAGGAATCTGTATTTTAAACAATTGCTTTCAGATGATTCTGAGACACACAAACATTTAAGAATAACTGAGCTGTTTAGGGGATAGAAAACACAGGGACAACCTTTCCATTTAGTTCTGTAAATGTGACTTAACAGATGCTACCATGGTCACCCAACAGCTGTTGGCTGTTCTGTTCTCACAACCCTCATATAACTCCTACAGCCAACCGCTAATGTGAAAAAGACTGAAACACAAAAATTTTTCCAATGTGAATTAAAAACTGATAGGAAATCTTTGAAAACAGGGCATTAGAGCTAGTTCTGTATCTTCAGAATAGCTCTTCCTCGAAGAAGCTAGATGAAATGGTTATTAAAGTTTTAGAAGTTCACCTTTCCGGAAATTAAGCTTTTTTTCCCCCCACAGTAAATTAATCAACCAGATATAGCTTATACTCAGATGTCTGTACTTCACGGAAATAATAAAAAATACTTAGTGCAATTTTCAATTTATAATTGTATTAAAAATCTGTTTCAAAGCTTATAATTATTTCAAGTCATATTAGATTTGAAGTAGCAGAAAGAAACCCTTACATCTTTTAACCGAATTTCCTGTCTTCTCTACTGAAACAATTCATTTCTGTGTAATTATAATTTCAGAAACATGTCGGAATCATTGTTATGCTATAATAACTCACCTTTTCCTTTGGAAAAGAATTTATTATCATTTCCCAGGACAACTCTTGTTCCATTCTGCTATCCTCCTTTCTTCCTTGATCCATATGTTGTTCTGCCACGTACTTACTGCGTGGAGTTCAGCGTGAAGTACTGTTGTTCCATTGGTGGGTGGTTGGTTAGATAATCATCCATTCTTTTAATCAAGAAAAGTGGGAGGAGTTGCTAATAATTTACACAGTTTCAAAGAAAGGGGAAAACTACAACTACAACTACTTACAAGAAAATCCAGGAATGAAGTCACCGGCTACCTTTTCAAATTTGTTCTTAATTATGATCAAAATGGTGAGGGAAGGTAAGTCATTCGCCATATTTCTTCTCTTTAATTTTGTTTCTCTCAAAAGCAGTAAAAAAAATTTAACCAAGTAACTTTCTAGTTTAACTGAAACCAGGCAGTGTCTTCCAAGTCTCCAAACTGTGTAGTTACCACTGCTCATAAGCCCTGATTCCTTGGCTCTTCACATAAGGACTTTTCTCCTTTGTTTCACTTAAGGAAGTTACATCCTGGTTTTGAACTCAATTGCTTGCCAGCTAAAAAAGTAGTCCTTTTTTTTTTTTAAAGCCTTAAAAGTAAACATAAACCTTAGAAAATAAAGGTGAATTGTATTCACTCAAGAGTTTGTTTAAAAAGAATCAGAGATATAATACTTCCATTGTTTCTTTCAATTTGCTTGCCTAGAGCAAGTAACAACCATTTCTGCCTTGTTTCTACACTTGCAAAATAGAGATGATAATAGCTACTTCTCAAGGTTGGACTAGATTTCATAATGGCAATTCCTAAGTACTGGCATTAACTTTTTTCTTTAAACTGTTTATATTTAGGAGCTCTGATGGCACAGTGGTTAAGTCATCCGGCTGCTAACCGAAAGGTTGGGCGTTCTAACTCATCAGAAACTTGGTGGGAGTACAAGCAGGCAGTCCGCTTTTGTATATGGGGCAGTTCTATTCTGTTCTATTAGGTCTCTGTCTGTCGGAATAGGCTTGATGGGAGTGGTTTTATTTATATTTAAGCAGAATGATTTTTCTAAAAAAAAAGGGGGAGGGAGGGGAGTAATGACCACCTTAGGAATAATACCCATTTTAGATAAATATAAAATGATCTTTGAGATATCCAAACACAAGAAATTCCTCTGGAAAATTAATTTTCATTCATTTGGCGTTGGATAAATCTGAGTTGGAATAGGCTCTGCCCTTTTGGGACTCAAAGGTGTAGTAAGTCTCTTTTTTTTTTTTTAGGATTTGGGTGAAGATTTAGAGAGTAAATTCACTTTTCATACAGCAGTTCACATATACTTTGTCTCATGTCATTGACCAAAATTTACAATGCAGCAGCTCCCCTCCCACTTCCTCCCCATAGTTACCTCCTCCCAGTGTCCATCCCTTCATACTCTTCTGCACCCTGAGCTATCTCCCTGTGCATAAGCAGCCCTTCCTTCTCCCATGATTGTTCTCTCCAGGGTGTGTGTCTACTTGAGGTAAATGTTTAACTCACATGCCTGTACTTTGTTTGGCAGGAAACCACAGTTGTGGGTTCAATTCCAGACCTGAAGGGCAGCTAGGGGCCATAGTCTCAGCGGTTACACCAGGCTCTATTGGACCAGCAAACCTGATCCCCACCTTCTTTTTTTTTTGCCTCCAAATGATTTTGAGTTTTGTTCCACATTGTTCTCCCTCTCTATGCAGGATCTCCTACATCCCTTCCAAGTGGATGGCAGTGGTAGCTGGGCACCATCTAGTTCTTCTGGTCTCATAGTTGTATAGGTTGCAGATCGGATGGTGTACCAGTCGCTAGGACTGATTGTTTCCATTCATTTTGGTTTTCTTCTTTCTTCTTGACGAGGAGAGACCCGTTGTTGCATCTAGATGGCAGCTTCCTAGCTTTTAATGTCCCAGTCGCTACTCGCCAAAGTAGTAGGTGGAACAATGTTTTGTATAGTATGTTATGCCAATTGAGCTTGATGTCCCCTGCGACTATGGTCCCAAGCCCACAGGATCAACTACTCAGTCCCTCTGGGTAGCTGGCTGTGACCAAGCAATGACCACAACCTTGCCCCTTGTCAGCTCTACTATACACCTGGGAATTCTGATCATTCACATGAACTTATAGGCCCATTGTCTGCCAACCTCAAAGGCGTAGTAAGTCTCTTAAATCGATTCTCTCCCCTACAAAATTTCACAGGGTTGTAGTAATTGAATTACATGAGGATATGTATGTAACATGTTTACCAAAGATTTAAGAATTTAGAGCTGAATAGATAACAATTATAGTACGATTACTCATTCATAAGTCCAAGAGATATTTAAAAAAAAAAAAAAAACAACTCACTGCTGTCAAGTAGGATCCGACTCATAGCAACCCCTCCCTGGGGGTTTTCGAGGAGGTATTACTACCGAAGTAGATTGCCCATTCTTCCTTCCCAGGAGCGACTGGTAGGTTTGAACCACCAGCCTTTTGATTAGCAGTCAAATGCCTTGGGCACTACGCCACCAGAGCTCCCTAAGAAATATTTAAGAAGCCCTCAATACTGTTGCTGTTGTTAAGTGCCATCCAGTCGGCTCCGACTCATAGCGACCCTATGTACAACAGAATGAAACACTGCCTGGTCCTGTGCCAGCCTCACGATCCTTGCTTTACGTGAACCCATCATTGCAGCTACTGTGCCAATCCAACTCATTGATGGACTTCCCCTTTTTCACTGACCCTTCACTTTGCCTAGCATGATATCCTTCTCCAGGGAATGGTCCCTTCTGACAACATGACCAAAGTAGGTGAGACGAAGTCTGGCCATTTTCACTTCCAAGGAGCATTCTGACTGTACTTCTTCCAGGACAGATCTGTTAGTTCTTCTGACAGTGCACAGTAGTTTTAGTATTTTTTGCCAACAACACAATTCAAAAGAAGTAACTCTTCTTTGGTCTTCCATAGTCATTGTCCAGCTTTCACATGCATACGAGGCGATTGAAAACAACATGGCTTGGGTTGGGTGCACCTTAGTCTTCAAAGAGATCTCTCTGCTCTTCAGCACTTTAAAGAGGTCTTTTGCAGCAGATTTACCCAGTGTAATATGTAGTCTGATTTCTTGACTGTTGCTTCCATTGGTGTTGGTTGTGGAACCAAGTAATATGAAATCTCTGACAACTTCAACCTCTTCTCCATTTATTATGATGCTGCTTAGGGACACATAAAGGTTAATAAATCTGTCTTTACCCAACCCTTGAAAGCTAGAATAAAAGTCAATAGCCCCAGAAACACTTTTGCTGGGAATCAAATTCATGGAATATATGATGAAAAACCAAAACTAATCTAAAAACACAATTAAGCTCACTGCCATCAAGTCCATTCCAACTGGTAGCAACCCCAAAGGACAGAGTAGAACTGCCACAGGGGGTTTCCAAGGCTATAAATCTTTATGGAAGCAGACTACCTCATCGGTTTCCCACAGAGTGGCTGGTGGGTTCCATCTGCTGAGATTCTGGTTAGCAGCCCAATGCTCCAACCACAATGCCACCAGAGATAACCAGAGCACGCGCAAATGCACCCCTAAACTCCGCCCCTTCCTCTGCTGCGCGCCAAAGGCGCCTACTAGTACGCGTGCGCTGACCGAGACCAGGCGCATGCGCTAGGTTGCAGTGGTTGGACTGGGAGTCATGGCGTGGGTACCTATGGAGTCTGTAGTGGAAGAGCTGATGCCCCGCCTCTTACCGGTGGAGCCCTGCGACTTGACAGAAGGTTTTGATCCCTCGGGACCCCCGAAGACGCCTCAGGAATACCTGAGGCGCGTCCAGTGAGTGATTTGGCCTTGTGCGGGTGGGCTGGTTGTCCACCCTGCCGTGGGTACAGCGTGCGGTCCCCCTCCCGACTCCTGTGCATTATAAAGCCCGGCTCGTATTCCTCTTTACACTCCCGTGGGAGTTAGAGTCTCATCAAGATCCCTGTATTACTTCTTGTGTACTCCTGTGTTTTCTTGCTTCCAATTCGGGTAATTTCAGAAATAGTTGTTGAGTATCTCAATTGCAGGTCTCAAATTTTTTCTGATTTCATAATTCTAGAAATAGGTCGCTTGTTTTGATAAACATGAACAAAGCACAGTAGTAACTAAATTTCTTGCATTTATTATTTATTTGTAGGCTCGAAGCAGCCCAATGTCCAGATGTTGTGGTAGCTCAAATTGACCCAAAGAAGTTGAAACGAAGGCAAACTGTGAATGTTTCTGTGAGTTTTGGTAACCGTTCAGGGAATTTTCCCCCCAAAATTAAAAGTCCAAGGCTTTTCTGTGGTATCTGACACTATCAATTATGGTGTAGGTAAGATTTACTACCCTTAACAGAAGTTAGACATTTGCTTGTACATTTTTCCGGAAGGATCATTGGCATTTACTGCTTCCAAAGAGATTTTCAGTAACCCTGACATTGTGGAAATTTGTTTACTGTAAGGTCGTGATCTAATCCTGGAGTGTTTAGATGAGTTGCTTATGCAATATTATTTATAATTTTATTTTATTATGGTGAAATATATGTATATATAACAAACACCTGTACATTTTTAACATATGTAAGTGTACAATTCAATGACATTCATCATATTGTACACTTTATTTTTTAGGAATCTTTTTCCAGTTGAATCTTCATAATTATTACTGGACTGGTGTTTACGCTTCGTCAGTGTAGTTTGCCTGTTCTGTAGTTGTATAAATTGCATGTTCTAATTTGTCTGGATTTAGTTGCTTAACAATACGAAACCTAACCAGTTGCCTTGTAGTTGATTCCAGTTCATGGGGACCTCATGTACAGAGAAGAACTGCACACCATAGGGTTTTCATTAGATGTGACCTTTCAAAAGTCAATTACCAAGCCTTTCTTTTGAAGTGCCTGTAAACCAAACATAAACCAAACCCAAACCAAACTCCCTGCTATTGAGTTGGATCCAACTCATAGTGACCCCCCCCCCCTTGGGTTTCCAAGGCAATTTCACTAAAGAAGTAGATTGCCCCATCTTCCTTCCAAGGAGTGGCTGGTGGATTTGAACCACCAGCCTTCTGATTAGCAGTCAGATGCCTTAGGCACTATGCTACCAGAGCTCCTGAGACATATGGAAGTATTCAAATTGCCAGCCTTTCGTGCTTAACCATTACACCACCCAGGGACTCCCTTAAGAGTAAAACCAGTTGCTGTGGAGTCAGTTCCTACTCATAGCAATCCTATAGGGCAAAGTAGAACTCCATAGAGTTTCCAAGGCTGTAATCTTTATGGAAGCAGTCTGCCACATCTTTTCTCCTGCTTTTCAAGAATAGAGACCCAAATATCTTAAACTTTTTCTAGCTGTTTGCACAGTGTTGTCATTTTCATTTATCCAGCACATTTTTGTTTGAAGTCAAATATCTCAAGTTATTTGAGTATATTTTGCCCATACTAAAAATTCTTTAAGGAGCTCTGGTGGCATAGTGTCTAAGGCATTTGACTGCTAACCAGAAGGCTGGCGGTTATCTGAGGTATGTCCTCTCCTTTTATTTCAAAAGTGTTTTGTAGAAAGGAATAGATTATATCATCAGGGCTCATATAGTTTACATTTCTTATACTTAGTTACAGCTCTGGTAGCATAGTGGCTAAGGCACTTGACTGCTAACCAGAAGGCTGGCGGTTCAAACCCACCAGCCACTCCCCGGAAGGAAGATGGGGCAATCTACTTCCGTAGTGATACTGCCTTGGAAACCCAAGAAAGGGTCGCTATGAGTCGGGTCCGACTCGACGGCACGTAACAGCAACAACAACATACTTAGTTACATAACCAGAAGGCTGGTGGTTCAAACCCACCAGCTACTCCTTGGAAGGAAGGTTGGGTAACCTACGTCTGTAGTGATAACCGCCTTGGAAACCCAAGGAAGGGTTGCTATGAGTCAGGTCCGACTCGACAGCACATAACAGTAACAACAACAACAACGTACTTAGTTACAGAGATCTCCTAAACATACCCCAACACCTCGTGGGATTGATTTACTGAGTTAAAGGGCTTGGGATCATAGTCTTGTGGGACAGCTCAGTCAGTTGGTATAAAATAGTTCATAAAGATAAGAATGTTCTATACACTAGTTTGGTGAGTACACCTGGGGTCTTAAAAGTTTGTGAGCAGCCATCTAACATAACAACTACTGGTCTTTTCCCATCTGGAGCAAAAGAGAATGAAGGAAACCAAAAAAGAAACTAGTCTACAAGACTAATAGCCCATGTGAGCAATGGCCTCTTCTAGCCTGAGACCAGAAGAACTAGATGGTGCCCGGTTACTACTGCCAGCTGTTACTGGACTGATAGAGACTACAGGAACCCCAGAGACTCTTACCTAGGGTACCTTTTCAACTTGGAACTGAGCCGTTCCCAGAGGTCTCCCTTCAGCCAAATAATAGATTGGCTTATAAACAGTATCACCCATGAGGAATGTGCTCCCTTAAACAATCAAGTATGTAAGACCAAATGGTCAACATATATCCAAAAGCAAAGATAAGGAGGAGCAGAGAAGGTAGCTAATTGGAAACAAAATGGAAATAATGAGAATTCTAGCACATTGTAAAAATTGTCCAATGCCATAGAACAATCTGTATAAAAATTGTTAAATGGGAACTTAATCTACTGTGTAAACTTTCACCTAAAACACAATGAAATATTTTCAGGAAAAAAAGATTAACCATGGGGTCTGGAAGTAGATGTCTTATTCTCAACTATAAACTATTCTAAGTTGTTCTGTTGAAGTGGCTATGTAAAGATCTTTTTCTAATGTTTTCAATTTGGACATATATAGCGAAGTGCCTACATTTTTGCATCTACAGTATAATTTCTCTTATATAGTCTTTCTTACTTTGACTTTGGTTCTTTTCCTTTGCAGAGACATGAGATTGTAGTCGTAGCACTAACCTTGATTATAACATTTCTGAACTGATCTCTAGCTTTCCGGATGCCAACCTGCTCCTGAAGGATATTCGCCCACACTTCAGTGGCAACAGCAACAAGTAGCCCAGTTTTCAACTGTTCGACAGGTAAATATAGTTTAATTGTTTAATCAAATTAAACCTTTTCCTCCAATTTATTTTTGTTTTGAGACTATAAATGGAAAATAAGATTCATGATTCTGAAATATGAGTACATATAAGAATATTTACAAATTAGTTACCAAATTATTACTGTAATCCTTAAAGATGATACAACTTAAAGCACGTTTTCTGAGTTTTGGAGTTGTTAGAATTTTGTGCAGAGACTAATTTCAGTTATTCATTTTCTGAAGATCACTGATTTTTTTTTTCTCTAGAGTGTGAACAAGCATAGAAATCACTGGAAGTCACAACAGTTGGATAGTAATGTAACCATGGTATGTAAGTTTTCTCGGTTTAAGTTGTACAATATATACCTAGTTGAAATAGCATATTTATTTCCAGTCTTTTATTTTCATATACCATTAATAGTCATAATTGTATTATATTAAAAAAACAAACCAGTTGCCATTGAGTTGATTATCTGACTCATGATTCTGTGCGTGTCAGAGTAGAGCTGTGCTCCGTAGGGTTTTTAATGGCTGGTTTTTCAGAAGTGGATAGATCACCAGGCCTGTAAAGGTGCCTCTGGGCAGACTGAAACCTCTACTCTTTGATTTAACAGGAGAGCTCTTTAACAATTTCCTCTACTTAGGAACTATCTCTTTAATTTAAAACCTGAAAATCAGTGCTATAAGTTGTTATGTTTATGACGATTTGAATCCACATTGTCTTGGGACACTTTCAAATAGATAGTTGTTAGAACAGCCACTCCTCGGAAGGAAGTTTGGGCAATCCTACTTCCGTAGTGATACTGCCTCGGAAACCCAAGGAGGGGTCGCTATGAGTCGGTGCCAACTCGACGGCACTTAACAACAACAAAGGCTTCTATGAATTTTTAAGAGTTCTTTTAGACATTTACTTTTTAGCAAATAAATACATTTTTAGTAGCATTTACAAAGAGAATGAATAAAGGCTTAATGAATTTCCTTTACAAGGGAATGATACCATGAAGCAAACCTACACACTTAGTATCATCTCTGCTTCATGGTAAGAGTGGCATGTTAGTGAAGCATGGAGAGTGCATACTGAAAAATGGCGTTTCCCACATTTTATCAGCTTAGATGTAATTTTAAGCTCTTTAGTAGATATGTCTAAATTGCTGAATAAAAAAGGGAGTTGGAGAAAAGGTGGATATATTGTTGCAGGACAAGAGTTGTTAACCTTTTAGGGGGTATCATATTCTACCTGAGAGTCTATTGAAAGCTGTTTATTCTCTGAGAGAAGAAAATGCACTTATACTCAAAATTTTATAGGCAGTTTCAGGATGATCATAGATTTCAGAAGCTGCCTCTAGGCAGTGGCTCATAACATCTTTTACATGATGACACATTGGGACTAATGGAAGAGGGTGCTTATAATGTTCCTGAGGCAACCTGCTTGTCACTGAAAACTGAAAGATTCAGTATTTAGCAGTTGGAAGGTCTACTCTAGGAGAAGTATGAAGGGAAGTAACTTCATTACTTGCTCAAGATCACATAGCTAGTAAGAGTTACAGCTTCAAAGAGATTCAAACCCAAATTTTTCTGACTCTACAACCTATGCTCCTTTCTTTGCATAATAGGGCCTTCCTATTAAGAAGTGTGTATGTGGTCTGGTGGGTGGGTAGATAGGTAGATTTTTTTTTCCTACTTACTTGATATAAGGTCTTATAGGTACATATCCACTCATTCAAAAAGAAGCCACATCAGTGATATAACTTGTGTAGGCCGCAAATACATATAAATTTTTGAAAAATGGAAATAACCTAACATAATTGATAGATTAATATGGTCTATCAGAGTAATAGAATATTATATAGCAGTTAAAAGGAGCTCTGATGCTGCAGTGCCTAAGGTATTTGACTGCTAACCAAAAGGGTTGGCAAACCCACCAGCTGCTCTGCAGAAGGAAGATGAGGCAATCTACTTCCATAAAGATTTACCACCTTGGGGGTCACTTTGAGTTAGAATTGACTCAATAGCAGTGGGTTTATATATCAATTAAAAATGTTTATTATGATAAATGTAAAACATTATGTAAACATTAATGCATGAACAAAATTTTTACAGCACACTCCAGTGGCAGCTATGTAAATGCAAACATCTATTGATTGATTTTTCCAATTATTAAATACCTACCATATTCAATAATAGGAGCCCTGCTGGCACAGTAAAGGAGCTCTGATGGTGTAGTGGTTAAGGCATTTGGCTTCTAACCAGAACGTTAGTAGTTCAAATCCACCAGCCACTCCATAGAAGACAGATGAGGTGGTTTGCTTCCATAAGAATTTATAGCCTTAGAAACTCAACAGGGGTCACTGTGAGTTGCAATCAACTTGATGGCAGTGAGGTCAGTTTGGGTTTGGTGGCACAATAGGTAAAGCGCTCAGCTGATAATCCAAAGGTTAGCAGTTGGAATCCACCAACAGTACAGGAGAAAGATGTAGCACTCTGCTTCCATAAAGTTTATAACCTTTGAAACCCTATGGGACAGGTCTACTCTGCACTATAAGGTTGCTGTGAGTTGGAATTGACCCAATTGCAGTGGGTTTGGTTTGGTTTGGTTTTGGTTTATATTCAATAATCAGAGTTTTCAGTGCTAAAAGAAGCAGAAGCAGTCTCTGTCCTAATGGAATAATGGGAGAAGGTGGATAAATAGTCCCAGTACAATAGTTTTTAACCTTTTAGGGGCTTCATATTCCTCCTGAGAATCTTATAAAATCTGTTTATCCTCAGGAAAAAAATGCACCTGTGCAGAGTAATATGCAAGGTTAGGGGGTACAAGTATAAATTGTTTTGTTCAGTGACTATATTGAGCTGAATGCTTCCTCCTACCATTTGACGATACAGAATAAATCTGTTCCTTCTTTCACCAGACAGCCCTTTAAATATGTGAAGTATATAATAATCATGTCTCCTTTTGTAGGGTAAACATCCTTCTGTCTTGTAAATTACATTATTAGTAAGTATTTTTTCCATACTGATTCCCATCTTTATCACTTTACACTTTATCTTTTGGATACTACCTAATTTGCCAGCATCCATCAAAGTGTGATCCAAACTGAATACATACTACCTCTGGTGTGACTTTTTAAGCAGTGTATCTTTGTGTTGAAGTGATGGGAATATGGGGGGTTGTAACTTCTTTTTTTTACTGTTGAGTATTGAAATAAATTCTTTTTTTTTTTTCTTTCAGCCAAAATCTGAGGATGAAGAAGGCTGGAAAAAATTTTGTTTGGGTGAAAGGTTATGTGCTGAAGGGACAGTTGGACCAGCTACAAATGAAAGTCCAGGAATTGATTATGTACAAGTAGGTGATATAAACAAAAGCATTCTAATTTTGATACATCACTTACAAAAAGGGATCAACAAACCATGTCCTGGGCCACATCCAGCCCATACCCTGTTTTTTTTACCGCCCACAAGCTAAGAATGGTTTTTACACTTTCAAAGAGTTGTAAAAAACAAAGAGTATGTGACTGAGACAGTGTGCAGACCACAAAACCAAAAATATTTACTACCTGGCGCTTTACAGAAAGTGTTTGCCAAACTCTGACTTAGTTCATTGGCTCTTTAACTTACAAAATGGCAGCTCAGTTTCCAAAACTATTTTCTCTGACCTATTTTAGATTGACATCATATCTCTTAGGTTTTAGCTACATAATTTTGTAAGTTAGTAAGATTCAGTTTTTCACAAGTGATTAGGTATTGATCAAACAATGACTTAAGGATAACAAAGGAAAATATACGGAACAATTTTAGGAAGGTGCTAAAAAAAAGTGCATAGTAGCTATTTATCCTGGATGTGAAATATCGAGGATATATTTAAATTTTGTATGACTTCATTGTAATCATATATTATGGGCCAACCTCTTGTACTTCAGAATTTACCTGCCCCAATTCTGCAGATATTCCTGTGGAACTACTACATACATCTGTATTGCTATGATTTCCTGTATTCTGTTCTGTTCCACAAATATTTATTGTTGGCTATAGTTTCCCACTCTGTGTTTTTTCCACTTAAAACTAATTATCTCAAAAACATAAAGAGCTCCAAAACCCACTGAAAAGACCAGGAATCCAATACAAAAACAAGCAAAGGATATAAATAGGCATTTCACAGAGAGGAAATACTAATGGTTTTTATATGAGAAGATGCCCAACATCACTTGTACTAGAAATGGAGCTTATAACAACATTGAGCTTCGAATGTTCGGGCAATATTGGCAGAGAAAGTTTGATATATACTCTGTTGACAAGAGCTGGGAAAATAAGTACTCTGGCACATGGTCATAGGAATTTAAATACATCCAAATCTCTAGTGGGGCTGAGTTGGAAGTCTTATGCAACTTCTTGTCCTTTTGAGTAATATCCTTAATATATGCTACATATCAAAAATCTTTTTAATCTAACAAAATATAAAAGTTTATTTAGCCTATTACAGAATATGTACAAGTAAAACACACCACATTAGAACATCATTTAAGAATGCAACAGTTTAATGCATTGTCTCACAAGTTCCTCACAAGTCAGTGGTGTCTTTATAATCAGGACTCCCAACATTAGACTCCAAAGTACACATTTTTTTTTCTTAAATCTAATCAGATTGAGTTTTTAAAAAGTAGTTTAATTCAAGTATCCTTAACTCCTGAAAATACTGGCTTTAGCTGAAGATTTTGAAATTATGTATATACCATGGATTAATGTCATTATCAGTATTAGTTATAATTTTACTGAATGTATTTAATAGTAAGTTAACTTTTCAACTACCACTTTTTAAAAATTCGTATTTTAACGTTTTAGTTAACTAAAATAAGGAGTTCTGGTGGTATAGTGTTTAAGGCATTTGACTGCTAACAAGATGGTTGGTGGTTTAAACCCACCAGCCACTCTGGGAGGAAGATGAAGCAGTCTGCTTCGGTAAAGATTTACAGCCCTGGAAACCCAATGAGAAGCATTATGAGTTGGACTCAGCTAAAATATCTTCATTTTGAAATTTATATATTCAAATTCCATATAATTTATTTTCTTGGGCATTACCAATACAATGGTTCCTAGAATGTTATAGTGGGCAATGCAGGAGTTTTCTTTTATCCATTCTTTGTTTTCAAGCAAAGGTGGCAAAAAAAATTAATTAGTTTGGGGGAAAAGATAAAGGCCTACTTATAATGCCATTTAATGAATTTCAGTATCATTTTTTCTTTCAGATTGGCTTTCCTCCTTTGCTTAGTATTGTTAGCAGAATGAATCAGGTAAAACCTATTAAATGCTAAGGATGTATGTGTTCTTTTGTTTCCAGCGTGTGTGTTCTAAGTGAAAGTATTAAATGCATTTTCTGAATACTTAATAGATTCAGGCACCTGTGCTAAGCTCTTTGATGGTTCTCATTTAATCCTCACTACAACTCTGTATTGGGAGTTGTTGATATCCATTTTTTATAGGTGAAGAAATCCAATTGGAAGTTAACTATAACTTACAGGTAGTTTTTTAGCAAGTAAATGGCATCACTGAGTTTCAAGCCTTTGTCCACCTAACTCCAAAGCTTATGATCCTTATCACAGTGCTAAACTATTCATTATTATACATTTCAATGTATAATTAGATTCCAGGGTTTGAATTAGATAAAATTAGATTTCTAATTCTAGATTTCCTATACAGTCCATTAAGAATGAAATACATAATTTATTCAGTTAAAAGGAATAATTTTTTTGTTGTTGTGATTTGGGTGAAATTTTGCGAAGCAGATTCATTTTACATTCAACAGTTAAAACATTCATACACATTTTGTTTTGTGACACTGGTTACATTCTCAACAGTGTGACATCTTACCTCCTCCTTCCTCCCTGTGGTTACCCTTTTCCTGAGTCCTTCTTGCCTATGCATTCCTGCCTCCCTATCTTTCTCCCTGTGCAAATGCCACTCTTCTGATTTCCCATGGTTGATTGTTCTAAAGAGTGTACCTCCCTGGTGTAGGTATTGAGCTCCTATGCCTGTCTATTGTTTGGTGAAAGTTAAGCCACAGAAGTGAGTTCAATTCCAGCCCCAAAAGGTGACTACGGGCTATATTCTCAGTTTCAGCAGTCTGTCAGACCATTAAACCTGTTCTTTTTTATGATTTTGAGGTTTTTTTCCATATTTTTCTCCCAATCTATACAGACTCTCCAATTTTGATCCCTTTCTGAGTGGTTGGCATTGGTAGCCAGGCACCATCTAGTTCTTTTGGTCTCAGGGTCATAGGGGTTGATGTTCTCATAGTCTGTTAGTCCTTTGGACTATTTCCATGCATCTTTGATTTTCCTCACTCTTAGCTCCAGATGAGAAGAGACCAATAGTTGCCACTTAGATGACTGCTTACAAGCTCTTAAGACCCCGGTTGCTACTCACCAAAGTAAGATGTAGGAAATTTTTTTTTTTTTTTTTTTTTAAATTTTGATTTGGGTGAAGATTTACAGAGTAAATTCACTTTTCATACAGCAGTTCACATATACTTTGTCTCATGTCATTGACCAAAATTTACAATGCAACAGCTCCCCTCCCAAGGAAATATTTTTGTATACCATATTGTGCCAGTTGAGTTTGATGTCTCCCATAAAAGGGGTGAAATTTGAACTTTGATTCTTCAGTCTTTTAGGAGTGGGGATTCTTTGTTATACATTATCAGAGCAAATAAAAAATATGTTTTGCCTTTATGTAACCTTGAGTACCCTTGGAAGAGAATATGTTTTTTCTTTTTCTAGATAGGTCATGTTATTACTGTTAACTACCGTGGAGTCAGCCTCAAAATCAATGCATCCCTATGAACAGGGGAATGGACCATTGGGAACTGTGGGTTTTCATTGGCTGACTTTCAGAAGCATATTGCCAGGCTTTTCTTCCTATTCCACCTTAGTTTGGAAGCTTTGCTGATGCCTGCTCAGCAGCATAGCAGTACACAGGAATTTACTGACAGGTAGATGATAGTTGTGCTTGAGGTGGATTGGATGGGAATTGAACCCTGATCTCCTGAATGGAAGACATGAACTCTATACTGCACCACCAAACCAAACCCACTGGCATCAAGGATTCCAACTCTTAGTGACCCTAAAGAACAAAGTAGTACTGCCACATAGGGTTTCCGAGACTATAAATCTTTATTGAAACAGTCCTTCATCTTTCTCCCACAGAGCAGTTAACAGGTTCAAACCACTGACCTTTTGGTTAGCAGCCAAATGCCTTAATCACTATGCCACCAGAACACCTTACTGAACCACTAGTGCCCTTTTAAAAGGTCATACTCTGTTGGAAATTGTATACTGCCTACAGATTTCACTTACTTGGTCATTTGCATTAAGATACTATAGCAGTCATATTAAACTCTTACCAGTGTGATTTTTATAAGTGCCCAAGTATATTTGAATAGGAGTCCCTTGGTAGCACAAATGATTAAGCACTTGACTACTAATCAGAAGGTTGGCATGTCAGACCCACCCAGGGCACCTTAGAAGAAATGCTTGGCAGTTTGCTTCCCAAAGGTAGCAGCCTAAGCCTATGGAATCAGTTTTGTTCTATACACATGGGGTCACCATATGTCAGAATTGACCAACAGCAGCTGGTTTGTATTTTATATTTGAGTCAGCCAGAGAATATTTTTAAGAGTTTGGTAAATTCTATCTCTACAGCTTTAAAATACATCTCTTTCTAGCTCATTTTCTCTTTAGATTTGTCTTTTAATTTAATTTGAATTGTGAAATAAACTGAAGGTGTTTATGGAAAGACTTTTTTGGGAGAGCACATGGACTTTTTCAAGTAATTTTTTAATCTTTACAAACTCAATCCTTGTATTTAAACTAAGGTGTTTGTTGATTCTAGAGAGTATATTAGACTATTTACCTAAAAGGCTGTTTTTCATTGGGTCAGCCATCAAATCAAATTACTAATTAGAGTCACAGTTTTCTCTGGATGTCTAAAGAATGAGGCCTTTTTAAACATATTGCTTTGTAACTAAAAGTAATGAAGTTCATGTTGAACTTGTCAGTGTTTCATTACTAATAGAGTTCTCCCTTCTCCCTCTTAGGCAACAGTAACTTGTGTCTTGGAATACCTAAATAATTGGTTTGGAGAAAGAGACTTTACTCCAGAGTTGGTAGTATTACATCTTTTTATTTTTATAATGCAGGCAAAACTATGTATACTTATATGTAAGATGTCTTTCCTTTTCTGTGTGTGTGTGTGTGTGTGTATGTATGGCAGTGAGTTTTGGGATGTTTGTATGTATGTATGTATTCATAACTCTATTTGTTTGCAATGAAGTGAGAAGCTTACATTGATAGAAATCAGTGTAGTACTTCCTCCATTAAGAAAGTTTTGCTTTAGGGAGAAAAACATTAACTGATAAAGAGTTGATTTAGATTCTGATACATGCTCCTTATCTCCTCTCAGTCCAGTAACAAGCAGGTTACAGACTAGCAACCAGTCTGCAAACCCCACTTTGAGTAGCACTGGCTTAAAGCAAGTTTTAAATGCATTTTCATAAGTGGCCTTGAAATCCAGTCTGCATAAGAATATCAGAAATAATAGCAAGTACTATGTGTTAGCCATTGGTCTAAGGATTTTGTATATAATAAACTGTTGAATCCTCCAACAGCTGATAAATGTTATTATCTCCATTTTACGGATAAGGAAACTGAAGCACTGAGAGGTTAATTAACTTGCTCAAGGTCACACCGCCAATAACTGAGACTCGAGGTCAGACCATCTGGCTCTAGTATCTCTACTCTTTAACAGCTGTGCTGCACTGCCCCTCTATTTTATTGTTTATTTACAGCTTATTTCTCACTTCCAAAATTGAGTTAATTTGATGGGTTATAAATGAATCACATGCTTAATTTCCTCTTAAAATTGGATTTTAAGAAATTTTATCATCTTTGAGATAGATTTTATTTTTAAAAACAAAAAAATTTGAGAATATTTGGAAAAGAGTGTGTCTGAGGCCCTGGAATTCCCTGGCAAGACTCTTGAGTACTGTGGATTCATTTAACAAGCATTGAACACTCCGTTTTCTGCCCACTGTACTAATGAAACAGATAAAATCTTTTCCCTCCAGAAGCTTATAGTTTGCTGGGAGAAACGGATAAACCAGCATGGCAGTATAGTGTATGTTTCCCAGCCTACTGTTCAGCCAAGTGGCTTAGATAAGTTTCTTCCATAAATATAATGACCATATCCTTTTACCACTGGATTGTCATTTTAGAAATTTATGTTTTCATTCTTATAAGTCTCTACTATGTACTGTGTATTTTTTATAGAGGAAACATTCATATGTTTAAAATCACTGTTTCTGATTCTACCAGTGGTTATACATGACTTTTATATAGTTGAAATCAAGGCATACGTTCCATTTTGTTTTTTTAGCTCACATCTCATATATATGTATACTTCTATGTGATAATATAATTCGTGTAATTTCCATTATCTTAACGAATCTTAGTTTTCTTTGATTCTTTTCATTATTGACCATATGTTCTTTCCCGTATTTTGCTGTTATGACTAAATTATACACATTTTTTCTCATTTCTTTTAATTCATTTCTCAGAATATTTCTAGAGTTCAAAAAGTAAAACAAAGATCTGCCATATGGCTCAACAATACCACTCTTAGGTGGCTTTGTGTATTCACAAGATAGATATATCTAAGATAAGTATATATGTAAAGGTGAATGTATACCACTGTCAATTGCAGCACTATTCACAGTAGCCAAAAGGTAGAATATTTCTAGATTACAATTACTGAAAAAAGGCTTTATAAGCTTTTGTTACATTTTGCCAGATTGCTGTCTAAAAGTGAGCCAGTTTATAATGCCAGCAGCAATGGATACTTAAATTTACTTCTATTCTCTATAACCTATTATAAATTGACTGTGGTAGTTCAGTTTGTGTGTCAACTTGGCTGGGCCTGGTTGGGTTGCTGGGCAACTGGATGTAGTATTCCCCATGATGAGACTGGTAATCAACTCCATGGTGGAATCTACTGGGAGCAGCTGAGTAAGCTGCCTTGGAGAATGTGGTCTGCTTCCTGTCTGTAAGGAGAAGCCTTGGAGAATGATCTCTAGCCTATGGCATGCTTGAACGCTGCATGTAGCCATGTCATTGTTCAGCAGCCTGCCAGGCTCTGCCAACCTTGGGATTTTCAGTGGACTTGAATTAATGGCCTGTCTTGTGTTTTGCTAACATCGGGACTGTGCCTTTTTACTTGTCAACCTTGGGCTTGTCTGCCTGAGCAGCCAGCAGCTGAGTGAAGAAAAGTCTCTAGCTTCAGTGGGCCAGAAGCAGGAGGCAGAGCTGAAGCCCACGGTTGAGGGACTTTCACCCAGCCCCTAGAGCCTGGCACTTTGAACTCAGATTTAAAGCCTCCAAACTATAAGAGAATAAACTCCTACTTCTTCAAGCCATCCCATTTATGGTATATTCCTGTCAGAGTGGCACTAGGTAACCAGAACATTGAACCATATGAAATTCTTGTTTTTGTGGATTAGAAGTGTTTATCAGTAATTCCATGTATTTCACTCTAACATTATTTTAGTTTTGTGATGATTTTCCAAATTTATTGTAGTATTTTAAAGTCAATGCACTTAACATTTTTTTCAGTAATAATGGACAGAATATTTTTCCCATGCATTGGTATATTAACTATGCCTTCATAATGTTGTTCATATTCTAACGTGGAATCTAGATATTGATGTTAAAATTTTGTATCACTTCTTTGTGTCTAACAGTGACATCCTAAATGTTCAACAATAAGCTATTGGTTAAGTAAATTATGATGTTTCCACAATGGTACTTTCTTTCATTTAAAAATTACATTTATGCATTCATTCCACAAATATTTTAATTAAGTCCTCCTATCATCAGCACCAGGAGCTATGGCAGCATAGTGCCTAAGGCATTTGACTGCTAACCAGACGGCTGGTGGTTCAAACCCACCAGCCATTCCTCAGAAGGAAGGTTGGGCAGTCTACTTCCATAGTGATACTGCCTCAGAAACCGAAGGAGGGATCTCTATCTATGAGTCGGGTGCGACTCAATGGCACGTAACAACAACAACATCAACAGCACTGTGCTTAAGGCATCTGACTGCTAACCAGAGGGTTGGCAGTTCAAACTCACCAGCCACTCCATAGAAGGAAAATGGGATAATCTTCTTCCTTAAAGATTTTGTCACCTTGGAAACCCAATGCAGAATTGCTATGAGTCAGAATCAACTTGATGACAGTGGATTTTACCATGTTCTAAAGGAGATCTGGTGGTGTAGTGGTTAAAGCATTCAGCTCCTAATCAAAAGGTTAGTGGCTCAAACCCACCAGCCACTCCACAGGAGAAAGATGAGGCAGTCTGTGTACGTAAACACTTATAGCCTTGTAAGCCCCTATGGGGCAGTTCTGCTTTGTTCTATGGGGTCATTAGTTGCAGTCGACTTGATGGCCATGGGTTTGGTTTTTCGGTTGTTTTTTTTTTTTAAATCATGTTCAAAGAAGTTCTGTTACCATAAACTCAACTGCCATCGAGTTGTTTCCAACATATAGCAACCCCTGTTGGGTTTCCGAGACTGTAAATATTTATGGAAGTAGAGCACACAGTTTTCCTTCCATGGAGCAGCTAGCTGGTGGGTTTAAACCGCTGACCTTCTGGTTAGCAGGCACGTGCCTTATCCACTACACCACCAGAGCTAATTCAGCTGCTAACCAAAAGGTAGGTGGTTTGAACCTACCAGCCTGCTCTGTGGGCAAAAGCTAAGACAGTCTGTTTTTATAAACATTAACAGCCTTGGAAACTCTATGGAACAGTTCTTTTCTGTCCTGTAGTGTTGCCATGAGTCAGAATTGACTTGATGGCAGTGGATGTCATGTTCTGAGGAGCTGTGGTAGCACTGTGGTTCGAGCATTGTGGTAAACCAAAGGGTTGGTGGTTCAAACTCATCAGCCACTCTACAGTAGAAAGATAAAACTCAGTCTGTTTCCTTAAAGTTTTACAGCTTGAAAACCTTATGGGGCAGTTCTACTCTCTCCTGTAGGATTTGGTTTAGTTTTGGATCATGTTTTAGGTCTAGGCTAGGTTCTCGAAGTATACTAGTATCATTACACTCTCACAGAGTTTAGGAGGAAAAATAAACCAACAGTGACAGAAAAGTATGGTAAATATTACATAAGTATAATGAGAATATTTAATAACTTCCTTTTGTTAATTCCACTTACCAACATGAGAAAATATTATGTGTGTTGTAGATAAAAAAAGATGGCTACAAAATGGTATTTCAGTGATGAAACTATTGAAAAAAATTGTACATATGCATAGAATAAAACATTAAAAAATGTTAGCAGAAATTTTATCTGGGTGGTAGAATTACAGGTTTGTGTGTTTTTTTCTTTGTGCTTTTTCATAGTTTTTCTGCATAGAATATGTATTACTTTTGGAATTAAAAAGAAAAACTTACTTAAAAAGTAAGAGGGTAGGTAAATTCATTCTGCCATGGGCCTTCAGAACATTATTTCACTCAGAATATAGTCCCTTTGTAGGAACATGGAGGGAAAATTATAAAATGATTTATATATCTGTTCATGGAGGACAAAGAAAAAACAATTAAATTTTTGTAAGGATTCATATACACCTTAATGTAGTTTTCTACCTATTAGGTGTTTGCTTATAGTAAGCATCTCTGAAACAAACTCTTAACAAGTAAGTTTATGGTTCAATATTTGCCTACTTACTATTCTTTAAAAATTCTGTTTAGGGAAGATGGCTTTATGCTCTATTGGCTTGTCTTGAAAAACCCTTATTACCTGAAGCTCATTCACTAATTCGGCAACTTGCAAGAAGGTGCTCTGAAGTGAGGCTCTTAGTGGTAAGTTGTAACTTTCTATTTCAGATTGAAAGCCCCCAGTAATTTATATGGTAGTAGGCAAGGGATTACAATGAAATAGGAAAACATTTGAAATATTAGTTTGGATTAGATTTGGTCACAAAAGAAAAGCCAAAAATAACAGTAGCTTAAATGTTGTTGTTGTTACGTGCCGTCGAGTCAAACCCAACTCATAGCGACCCCTCCTTGGGTTTCCGAGGCAGTATCACTATGGAAGTAGGATTGCCCAACCTTC